AAAATATTATATAATTTGAAATAAAATCCTAAACTCAACACATGATGAAATCATATAAACTTTTAATGTTTGAAGATGATAAAAACAACATTGAAAATAAGTACTTGAAAAAATCGCATAGTTATTATGTTATACAATTTAACAAATAGATTTAGCCTCTAGTATCAAAATAAACAGCAAAATATGATTTGCAAAAAGAAAAAAACATTTAATTAATCGTTAATTGTTTATATTTAAAAATAAAGAAAGACAGGTTTAACAAACATTCTTAAAGACTAGTAAATTGCTCCATTTGTCAAATCAAGGTTTTGAACAGAAAAAATATGAAGGTTAAACTTTATTGGTCTGCCTTTCTTTTACATACCCTTACACAACACTTGTAACTTTATAAACAAGTACAATCATTTTTTTTAATTAGCTATAAATTTAGTATCATATTAAAAACTTAAGTTTTTGGCAAAATCTTATGGATTAAAGTGATGTACACATGAATGAGATAAAAAAAGAATTGGTTATAAATTATAATATATTATTATAACTTATAATATATAAATATATAAATAGATCATTTATATTCAATAATAATTTTGATAAAATGCTGCATAAAACTGTATAAAAACAATTTTAATTAAAAATTAATTTTTTTTAAACTAAATAAAATTACTAAAATACATTAAATAAAACGTATTATACAGTATATTATTGAAAAAATAAATAAAAGTTAGTTATCATGATAAATGATATAAAATAAACAATCATGATTACAATAGAATAATCCAAGATTACTTTCTTGATACAGAAAAAAAATTAAACCGTCATGAAATTTTTTTTTAAAAATTTAATAACGAATTACATGTTTCAATGTATTCATCATTTTATTAACAATAATTGCATGTTGATAATAATTCATAGCATACGTTAATTATCATACTTTTTGGTTTTATTTTTATGATTTATTTTAAAATATGTCAATAGTATTATAATTTGTTACCATAGAACATATGTATATTTTTTAAATTTAAATCAATGATATTTGATCTTTTTAAATCTGTTATAATTATGGCTGTCAAAATACGTAAATTCTACGAACATTCAAATTCAGCACTTACACTTAAAGATGTGATCTGTGATAGAGCAAATAAAAATGGACAGTATCCATCTGGCAAGCTTACAATATTAAAAAAATCCTAAGACGAATCTTAAACAATATAAATGAAACAATTTGGAAAATATAAATTTTTGCTCGTATATTTTGACTGTTGATATTAATTAAGAAACAGTGTAATATTGTTTTAAATTATTTCAAATCCCATAGCCACCCGTAGAGTCAATAAGGCAAATTCTAAAGCATATTATTCTCAATGAATATCATACGAAGAATCTTTGGGTACAATAACCTTTAAATCGACATATATTCATCTATTATTTAAATTTTTTAATTATAACGGTATTTATTTTCTGTACTCAACATATATTTTTTAGTATAAAATTAAAAAAAATATTTATATACATAAAAAAGGACTCCAAATTTGGTCAAGATACAGGATTATGTGAATGGTATTGCTGTGTTGGTCTTTTTAACTTAAAACCAATGTACCATTGGTCTCGAAAAAACGAGTCTGAGTAAAAGACGTCTGGTAAATCATTTTGTATTTCTGAAAAATGGTTAATATTATAAAATAACCAAATAATTTTAATATCCTAACATTCACAAAAAAAAAACATTTCAAATGTTGGAAAATGGGAAATTTCAAGTACCTATAAACATTAAAAATGATTCTAAAATATTTTAAAACTTTGAAGTCTTCAATTTAAATAACTAATATAGTTCGATGGAAATTCGATGGAACTATATGATTTTGTAACACTTATAAATCATTTTTGAGTTGTTTTTTTTTTTTTTTGCAAATAGTCAAAAGTATAAATAATGAAAACTTTATTCAAAAAAATCTAAAATTTTAATTTTTTATATGTAAATAGCTTTAAAAAAATCGTTTTAATAATTATTCCATCTATAGAAAATGGCGATATAAGCAATCAATGAAAATTCTGTACTAAAAAGAAACACTTTAGATAAATTTGATTATCTTAGAATAGATCAATCCTAGAGTTTTAACGTTAAACTTTTAAAAACAAATATAATTTTATAATATAAATTAATTTAACTTAATTTTTAATAATATTTTCTAGATCATTCCATTATATTTAATTTCAAAGAACAAAATACATCGATCTCATATATAAGTTTATAGAACGAAAAATGCAAAAATGTATTACAAATAATCTGATTAATTAAATTTGATGTCTTAAATTATTGTATATTTAATTCGTTATAATTATAATGAGCCCATCATTTTTGGGTTTTCACCGCAATCGAACTGAATTTAACACGTTAAGTTATTCAAGATATATATTAATAATTCCATGTTTTTAAATTAGTTGTGTTTCAAAAATGTTGTATCTATATACTATTATTATTATAACCATAATTATTGTTTTTACTATCTATTTGTTACTCATTTTTATCATTTTTTCAAAAGAAAAAAATTTAATTTAATTGAATTAATAGCGTATTTCCACTACCCGGACTATTCTGATTTTAAGTTATAATAATTTAATTTTTTTTTTTTTTTAGATACAAATAATATTATTAAGGTATATTATACCTTATAACACATACATAACCCGCTACAATTCATAGTACATTAAGAAAAGTAATACATTTGTGTATTTTCTATCTGATGGCTACATATTTAATAATAACATACTGCAAGATTTCTGCGCGGGGCTATTGCACGCGTTGACCGTGAATCAAAAACGCCGCATTAGATAACTAAATTTACGCTATTATCGCGACCAGTTAAACAACAGATATACGTAAGAAACAATACCAGTTTTTTTTACATTATTTATCTTTGCAAAACAAGTATCTATCATCCTTTTTAAGACTGGTTATCGATTTCCGAATAATTAATCATGGGTTAACAAATTTAAATCGGTTTAACACCCCTCTGAATGAAGCTACTGTAAAAAATTTTTATTATTTAAAAGTAATAGTTATTTAAATAATATTAAATTAACTAGAAATGCATCAACAAAATCCAATAAAGGTTCTGCTTTTATTAGATATAAGAGTTACTATCGTAACTCAATTGAGCTTAATTGTTGCACACCCGCATTATTTATTAAAAAATATAGTTATGTTTTATATTTTATTAAGTACATAAGACTTTTATTAAAAGTTCTATTACGACGTGGAAGATTCATGTACTTGTATGAACGTGCAAAGTATAATGATAATATTTATCCATAATTATTTATAATTTGCTAATACTGTATAAACAAATGTTAATAAAAGAAAGAAATTCTAAAAGAAATTCTATACATATGTTCTTTACCTAAATATTTGTTCATAAAAAATAAATATATTTACGGCCATACAATATGAAAAGTATTTAAAACGAGTGAAATAAAACTACTGACACTTAGAATTACACATCCGTAGGAACGTCTATGGGTCTTAAGAAAAAATATGACAAAACGGTCACTGTATGTCTCGTCTGAACAACAGCGGCTTCTGCGAGCAAACCAGTTCTACTGTACAAGATGTAGGTAGACAAGAGGACGGAGAGAGGGATAATCGTGACGTGTTCTCCAGCTGGTTTGAACCATGGAGTCTGAGATCGCCATTATGTATGACATTTTTTTTAATATTTCTTTAAAAATAAATGCGTTTCATTACTAAAATTATGATAGTAAATATTTTTCAATAGATATATGAATTTTAGTTTATTTTTCAATGGGTACTGAAAAAATAAAGATTTAAAAATAATATTTACTAGCATTATTGAAATTCATTTTTCTAACAGAACTTTTTATTGTTTAATCCATTAAATAACATTAAAACAAATATGATATATTATTTTCCTTTTTAATGTAAAAAAAAACTTGAAACAATATATTAAAAATTAAAATTAATTATAGGATGTATATATGAGTTTACATCAAATATTAAAAGTAATGGCAATCTTAATGTCATTTTTAAGTATCTTAACTGTCTCCAATAACAAAACAATAAATATAAATACATTGAGTGCAAGATCACCTTCTAACAAAAAAAATTTAAGAGCATAATGAGGGCACACTCTCATTCACATAGGTACACCTTAGTCGGAGTTTTGTACTTTGCACAGTTAGATATTGTTAGATGGTGACACATTACTTTTAAAATCTCAATCTTTTTGTTCGTCTGCGAGATAACAAGAAATAATAAGAATAATAATGACCACGTTTAAAGGACAAACATAATAATAACTTCAAAAATTGTCGTCAATACAAGTAACTCATAAATATAATTACAAGATGTCAGTTTATGAGCTGATCAGTTAAATATTTTTTTCATTTTGGTATGATATTTATATTGGACAGCTTAAAAATACTGAATACATAAATATCGTACCTCATATAATACACAAAGTAGAAACCCCAGGATTTTCTTTTTAAAAAATATATTCCTTACAAATCAACGATTTAGTCGAATATATGCCACAAAAGAATGGGTCATATATAAAAAACAGGCAGGTGTACAAAAAGGTATAGAATAAATCGAGGGTCCCTTATAAAAAAAAACCAAATAATAAATTATGTTTTGATTCCCCGCTAAGAAGCAAAACGTGTCAGTGTACTAAAAATAGTAGATGATGAAAATATTTTATAAAAGGATTATACACATTACTTAAAATTAAAATATAATATTTATTTTATTTTAATGATGTCTGTATTTTTATAATACCTACAATATTAAACGGAACAAGTAGAATACAAAAAAAAAAATAAATAATTTTCACTACCCTGTTTACAGAGTGTGTACTACTTATGGTAGGGAAATTTATAAGTCTTCAATAATAATTAGTAACTGTATAAACATATGGACACCAATCACAATCACAATAAGACAACTAACAATAAATATAACTCTTAATTGAAATTTAATACCTTACCTGCATAAATGTAGTACGTCTATAAGCGTGAATATGTGAATTTGAATGTCATCTAAAAAAAAAAAAAAAAAATGGTACATGAATAAGCAATTTTAAATACTATGACAAGAATGGTATTCAAAAGTTCAACAAACAGTGTAAAAATAAAGAAAACCATTTAAAAAATATATGGAAGTCTGGCAACGCATTTGCGTCATAGTACATGTGTGCCAAAATTTACTACAAATGAAATGGAACGCTGTTCAGCTTGGTCCAAGAAAAATGGGAAATAATAAGGCAAAACATACAGTGAAACTTTTACAGATATATTTGACTTATAGACTCAAAGAATGTATGTAAAAATTTGTATCACTTCAAATCTATAAAAATTTTAGGTACATAATAATGGTACATAATGCTTTGAATACTAAACTCAGTAATAATATTTCTAGAAATGTTTCTTAGCATTAATTATTTAAAAAAAATACCCCATTTAACAATACGCGATTTACTTGAATAAATAAATAAAGCATGCAGTTTATGTAAAACCAAATATTCCATATTCATTTTATAAAAACTGACAATTCTCTAATTCATATAAAAATACAACTATAGTTATTATAATATTATTTTTAATATTAAAAATTGAAAAACTAATAAAAATGCAATAGGAATCTCACTTATAACTTATAGTTACTAAAATTATATATAAAACTTAGTTTGAGTCTACCAAATCAATTCAAACCAAGATTCAAATGTTTAACAATTCATACCTACTTGTCGTATAAACATTATTTAGAACATAAAAATATTCAGCATGTTTAGTATTAAAAATATAACATCTATAGAAAATCAAATAATTTGAATGGTATACAATATTATTTTTAAAATTAACTATTTTATTATAGTAAACCAGAAAACGTGCACTCGTGGGTATGAATAAAATCATTATAATACAAAAAGTGGAAATTAATTTCCAATACATAGAATCCCAAAATATATTTTCAACGGATGAGCATGCGTGGAAAATTAAGACAGGTGCGAAAAGAAAAAATAAGTTTCTGAGGACAGCGACTAACTGCAGATGGTTAATGAACGAAGTCGTGTAGAACGGGCCAAATAATGGAGGACCATTGTTATCGGGTGCACAAGAATAAAAAAATAAACAACGTGCATAAGAGAATCTCTATTCTATTGAAAGGATCACAAAAAATAACTTTAATATAAGGAACGTACAAAAATAGAATGATGAACAATAGATGCCCCCATCTAGATTGTTGAACTGTGAAGTGTCAAGATTCGTGTTGGTATTAACTTGAGCTTGTATATCCCGATACAAATATACATACTTTGTACCTATATCTTGATATTAAATTGTTATTTATTAGCTGAAATACTTAAATATCAATGATTGGCAATTTATTTATGATAATTAAAACTCAAAACAAATTTAAAAAACTTACTATTAAACTGTTTGCATTTGTAATAAGTAAAATTAATAATCTACTACACTTGTTGAGCTGATAAAAAAATTACAATATAAATGACTCATCAATAATAACTATTAATAATAGGCAAATCTAAATTAGTTATCAAATTTTAGCTTTAGCCCTCACTTAAGCCTAATTAGCTTAAAATATATATAAATTAAATCAAACTTTTAAATTAAAACGTAAACACTTTTATATATATATATATATAAATTCTAGGTTAATAAAGTAGTCCTAGACCACAGTACAGTAAAAAATAATAGAAGTCGTATTATTAAAATATGAACTTATCAACGTTTTAAAGTGCTTAAAAACATATAAAATATATACTTAAAATCAGGTAAAATCAAAATAATTATGTTTAATACATATTTTAAAATATACTTGAGTAGTATTAATCAAAAATTAAATAATTTAAGTTTAATATTTTAAAAAACAACATAATCATAAACTTTCTATTAAATATCGTAAAACTAAATTCTACATTGAGATATTCAGAGTTTTATTATTGGTAATCCAAATTGCAAAATAGAACAAAAAGCCGTAAATAAATAAAATAATTATGCACACAAAATAAATATATATAAATTTTATAAGTACCAAGCTCTTGTTGTAACATTTATAATATAATTCTACTTCTGTGAAACTCGAAAATTATATATCTAAATATTTCAATTAAAATATCGCAACTAACATAATCAAGTAATCAACAACGAATTGCACAGTAAAAATAGTGAAAGATAATAAAAATAGTCAAAAGTTAAAACTATATGCAACAATATTATACGGTATCGAAATAACTGTTACATAAAATAGAAATAAAAACCAAATTTAATAAAACTGTATTATTCATAAACGTTAAATACTTTGTTACCTGAGAACTATTGTACTTGTTATGTTAGGGTTCTGAATTTTGATCACTCAGTAGGTATTACATACTTTTATTAAGATTTTTATAATAAAAATTATCAACCATAAATTTAATTTAATTTTTAAGATCTTACATAGCTCACTTTGTGATCAAAGATTTGAGTTGTCTTTTTTTATATGTAAATTATTATCTTTTGGCTATAAAATCTAAATTATGTTCTTCTCTATTTAACATAAAAATAATAATTATAATTATGTTGCATAGTGTTAAACAGGAAAAATAAATTAATGTGTATATGTTCTTCTCTTAATGTCTAGTAAAGGGAGACAACAAATCTCGCAAGAAATTTCTTAATTTTTAGAACACAGATACATATCTATATATCTATAACCATTAGTATTTTTATTTTAAAAGAACTCATGTTTGTAAACCTACAGAAATGAAACCGGTCCCGAAGGAAATGCTTATGGACCAGTTAAAATCATGGTAATTTATACACCATCATATACAGACCTTAATTAACGATTCGGGTGCCATTAAAAGTTAGTTAAGGCAACATTATTTTAAATTTTACTGAAAAAAAAAAAAAATAAATCATTTTAAATAATAATAATTCGTTTTTTAAAATTACTAATAATTACTCTTTTGTATAACATGGTTTTAATGTCAATGGTACAAAACATTTTATAGACAATAGCAAAATATGATACTACATATTTTAGTTAATGACTAATAATCAATAATGATCAATAGGTGTAATGGTATAAATATAAAAAAAAAATAGAAATATCATCAAAATTATAATGTATAAGTTAAAAAATTTGTCAATTTGTCTAACAAAAGTTAATAAATATAGTTTTTAGATTATAATTAAATTATTTTTCATGTAATTTTCACCATACATTTATTACTTGATAAATTAAACGATCGTTTTCTATATTTTTATATATTAACAATATTAATACATTTTTATTTGGAAAAATATAAACAGATATATAAGTGAGATTGTTTTAAACCTCGTCAATTACTTAATGACAACATGTTATATATTCAAGGTTTTAAGCTAGTCTTTAGATAAATTATCTAATTGGTACCCGCTTGGAAGCTCTAGAGTAGTACATTGGAAGTAACAGAGATCAGCAAACCTGTAAAAAGTAATCGACCCGCAGGCAGTTCTGCTTCCCAACAAACAGGTTTAGAATTTTTTTTTCTTTATGGCTCTCGATTTATTTTTTTTTTACTGTTTGATATACTACGAAGACACAAAGTTGACCCGGCAGAGGTTCAGAGATGTCATTTTATTACCCTTACAAAATCCTTATTTATACGATATAAAATGAATATGAATGAACGGAAAAGTTCAAACGGTACAATAGTATGTCTTGATTTTAAAATTATTTTGTTGTTATTATAAGCTGTTCAAGAATACACCTTTAGTTATCTCAAATAGTATACATTTAAAATGTCAACATTTTCAAAATCAACTATTTTTTTATTTTATGTGATACTTCCCATATTTATGAAAAAAATACAAATACAATATAATTAATTATTTACCAAACATATATTAATACTATCAACAAATAAAATTCCAAAAATAGTATATATAATGAACGGTTTTTAATTTTTAATATTTATAATCTGAAAAAAAATATTATTATTATTATTCAGGTATCAGATAAATATAAAATAAAATAATAAATAAATAATTTGTATCTATGATTATTTTAACATTTCTAGTGTTAATAACTATTTACAACATAGAACGTAACAATTAATTGATTTAAAGGTAGGTAACTTATATGTACAGGTACCTATTAAGTATATTTTATACTTAATATTTATATTATTTATATTTATACTTTATTTATATGATTTATAAAAAACAAATGTTCAAATAATATTAATCCCAACATTTTACTCAATATTAATATTTTTTAGATTACACAATTAAAATGGTATAAGTAGAATTACTTTTAAATAATAATTTCTCTTTAGGTGATTCAAATCCAGCTTTAAATTTTTCTACAATGAAAACACCAATACACCTATATTATACATGTATACCTGTATAGGGACTACTCACTCATCCATGACCCCATATGAGTATACCTATATACCAACCACTAAGCGGTATTAGTCATTAAATACAAACTTAGGTCACGCGAATACCCTTTTATACCTATGATTCATATTGTTACATATATGAATCATGTACTTGAAAATCATTTCTTAATCGAAATAAAAACCCAAAAAATGTAATTCACCATTGGATAGCGAAACATTAGAAAACAAATATATACTACAGTTCTTAATGTTTTTTTGTTAAGTGATGACGTATACATAACTAAATACTTAATTTTAATAGAATTGAAGATTAAGAACTATATTTTGCTTATTAAATATTTATGATGAATATTTTAAAATGTAAAAACGTAATAATTTAATAAATACAAATGAAAAATTATAAAAATTAGTTTTTTACACATCCCGATAATTTTTCATATTTTCCAGCGTACAACTATAGCATCGATTACAATCTCTGGTAGCAAAAAAGCCTAAGACCTTCAATAAATAAAATTATTTCTAAGTCATTATAAAAAATAATCTAATAAATGTATGATTAATAACATTTCAATTCATAAAACTGTGTAAACTGTTTTATACTACTATTAATGGTACCTAGACTAATGTTTTTGATAATTTTCAACAAAGTAATCCCACGATATAATTATTTGATTACACTTTCAATTGTCTAATGCATCAGACGAATTAACAAATAAGAAGGTTAGTGACCACGAACTGTAACTGTTACCAAGATATTGAACATAATAACTAATAAGTATCTTATCCTATAGTAAAAATCAATTGTACATAGTATAATTTTAGGCCTTGCTACTATTTTATATTTGGTACTTATCTCTTTGCTATAATTTTAAACAAAGTAGGGTTAAAAGCAACTTTTTATTATATAATAATTCTTAATTTGACTTCAAATGCACCATTGATTTACATAACCCAATATCAATATAAGGTAAATTACTTAAATAATTATTAAAATCCATTAACAATGTTCGTAGGTTAGGTTAAGGTTTATTAAGGTTTACATAAGTGTTTAAATTATAGATAGATGATATGGGTAAAAAAATATAAAATACAATATTTTGAGTTTTTTTGTGAAAAAATACACCCTTGTTAATTATGTTTAGTATACATATTATATTGATTATATGGGTACAGTAAAAACTAATGTTAAAAATAGTCTACAAATTAATTTTAAATAGAACTATTCAATTAAATGTCAACTACTTGAATTTCTACATCAACTTAATTTATAAATTACTCTCTTTCTGTAATACAATTTAAAAAATATATTGGTCGTTTTTTTTATACCTAAACTTATACATGTCACTATGTATACCACCATAATTATTTATTGACTTTTAACTATACTTGGTTTAATGCTGGCATAATTGATAAATAAATGCATAAATGATAATTAAGAAATAATTAGGTTCTTACCAAAATACATAACATAGAGAGTTTAACGATAAGATCAAATTCAAATATAAAATAAATAATATTACAGTCTATGCAGTAGGGTTATAGAATTTTTTTAATATAAGCAGTCTTATGTCAAACTATAAGATACAAGAGAACCACCATTTATAAGAAATGATTGAACTGGTTCCAGTGGGTGATCTTCAACCACGCCTTTTCCGGTCGCCAGTTATAGACCCCGTGGAGCCTATCTAACATTATAGATAAACGTATTTTTTCCCTCTTCGTATGTTTAAAATTAAACCAGTTATTAATTTGCAATGTCTAGATTTCCATGCAAATTATTATTATTCACCCATGTTTCGTAATAAAAAATATTTTTATAATACATTAATACAGGAGACATTTAGGGATGCATACCTACATTCACTCATGGCGCCAACTTCCTGGATACAGCTAGTCATTTTTGTCCTTCGAATGGCGTCGTGACTCGATATACTTTACACAAAAGGGTAGACGTAGTTTTTCAAAACTCAAACTATAAGATGTTTTAGTTTATCGGGTCGAAATAATACAATAGGTACATAAACGTGTTTGGAATCGTCAGACGTAATAAAACTATTTTAACATTATTTAGTATTAAGTTAGGCGTCCTTTTATTTCCTTTATAAGGAATCACTGGTTTTCTTTAAAACACGGGGATAATAAGAAAAATAATAATACTTTTTATTATATATAACTTGATATCTAAATCATAAGTACCTATCATAATCAATCGTATAATATCATTTACTAACAAAAATATTTTTAAATTTCTCTATTTTGAATAGGTATATTGTATTTATTTTCAATATCGTAACTTTCTACTAAATTTGCTCTTTAATTAACATCACGGTACGAAGATACTTATAACTAATTGTTCGATTTGATTAATGAATAAGTATTATCTATTATTATTGAATCTTTTAGATTCATAAATTAATTGATAATTTTCCTGATTATTTAACTATATAACTATGTACGCTATAATACTATTGCCTACCTCGACATTGTTATTCAACAATTGTATGGGTATATTAAATTTACTACTAAACTTAAGTTACCGCTACATGAATAGAAGACAACAAATAAAAATAAAATGTCCTTGTATAATAAAATAGTCGACCGAGTTAATTAGTATTAATTTTTAAGGTACCTACACATCAATATGTAATTGATAATTACTGAATTTCATCACAAAACTTTAAAATCAAAACTCTTTAAAACCCTTAGCTATATAATTCCATTTCAATCCCATCTTCATAAAAAAATGTAGAATAATAAATAATTTTGTATAACACGATGGTTATAATAAATTGCCGTCAAATACCTATTTAAGTTCTATATATAGGTATGTATATATATTTGAATGAAACCTGAGTACTACATGTATTATATATTGTCTTAACTCCTATATAGTTAGTTACATGGCACCGATAAAGCAATATTGTATACATGTTTTATATCATTTAATACGCGTACCTTATAAATAAGCACCTATTTAGACAATAACAAAAAGTGCATAATAAAGAATTTGAACAAAATTCAATATTAAAATAAATAAGTTAGACGTAACAAATAATGTTGACAGCACGTAAACTTATCGAAATTTCTAAAAAAAAAATACAATACTGTCAACATTATTATATTTATAATACAGGATTTTTAAGAATAATTCAAAATAATGTACGTATTATTATAATTATTCAGTGTGAATATAATTTTTTTAAAAATGATAAAACAACATTTAATCACTAGTATGAGACATGGTATTATAACAATAATCATATTCAGTTCAGACGCTCTAAATATTGATCAATACTAAATTAAAAAGTATATTAAATTTCATACGAAACGGATATAGATAAATCGTGATCTAAATAACAGTACCAACATTTAATCGGAAACGAGAGTTCATATTGACTTTCAAATAACGTTGGAACATATAATTTCAATTTATTTTTCTATATACGATGCTTGTACCTACATACAAACATGTACGATATACAAATGGAATTGTATTATAAATGCATGCATCAACACATCATATTATAGATAAATTTTCAATACTTTGATCTACATCGATCGTCATAGGTAGTAAGTATTTTTGAATTCTTATCGACAGTTCATACGTTTTCATTAATCTTCTCGTTCCATATTTACTACAATACTGAACAATAGTCCATTCAAAAAACAACCAAAATCTACAAGTGCAGTAGTAAACAATATTTCAGGAAACAATCGGTGTTCACGTTATTATTTCCGTGTCGTTATTTGTCGAATACCGACAAGAACACGGCGTTTTATTCGACCATCTCCAGATGACCGAGGAACCGTCAACGTCGAAAAAAAGTACACTTCTGTAGACTGTTCTCGTTTCCAATCTTACTAATATAAAACGATCACATTTTGGGAACTCACCGTTTTCGAAAATATCGTTTGTCCTCGTGCGTGTAGCTCCGGGGCCTTTGAGATCGACGAAAAAAACACAACGAAACACCACGAACCGCACACGTCAACACACTTGAGCAATTATGTTAACACGGACGCGAAACAAACAACTTGGAGCACGCGAACATTTGAACCCGACTGGTCGGCGAAACAAAATGTCGTATTATAACAATTTAAACACGGTGGTGAGCAAAACTATTTGGCGTCGGGAAGACGGGTCGAAAAACACGCACACTCGCAGGACAGACAACCAACTACCTCCGCACAACGAGTTGCGTCTCGGACTGGTTTGGATTTTGTTTACGTTCCATAGAACGTGTCGTTGTTTTCGTCGGCCGTGTAGGGGAAAGGGAAAAAAAAAAGTAGTAACGGTAATAACATGGGAGCGTTGCTATAGCCGGTGGCGATGACCGGTGTGCGCCGTGCGGCGTGTGTACGCGCGGTTGTTTCAAAACCCGACAGTGCGGCCAACGCGAGCACGCCTCCCGTTGTGTTCACTGCTGCCGTCACGGTATTCCATTATTTTACTGTCGATGGCGGCACCGGGTGGCCAACGGAGCCACCGTATCGATTGATAACGTGATAAAAACGACATCACGAAAATGCGATAACGCACTCGGTGTTTATGCGGCGTTGTTTGAACACGGTTAATAAATGGTTTGTAAATTATCCGACCACCGTGTTGATCATGTTCTGAAATACGATGACGTCGCGATTAAGTGGACGAAGCCGATTTAATGTTGAGCAGTAATTTTTTTCTGGCGTATTCCGTTCTCGACCTGATGGTTTTGTAGGATTCATTTGCTACGCTAAAACCATGGCCACCGTAATAGCCATCGATCTGTCCGTGTCCATGCTCCGAGACATTAAAATCAAAGACACCAAAGAATCATTTACGTTGCTACAGTTGGCCACTCATGGTGTCAATGTTCTGCTCGACTACTTAGCTGTACACTCAAGGCTCGAATTTGTAGCTGTTGTGAGTACTTAGGGACATGTGATAAAATTAAATTACAAATCCCTATTTTCACAATACCGTTAATACCTATACTACAGTACATTGAACCGTATTTAAAATTCGGTTGCTACGCAGAACTACATGCATAAAATCAAATGGTTCTTTATATCAATTCTTTTCCATTCTTGCGATATAAAAAAGGAAAATAGTATAATTTCACATAAATTATTCGTACTATATGTACAGTATTTACATTTTAATATGTTAAATATTTAGTATTGTTACTGGTTAGATTCAGAGCCTGATTAACGCAAGTGCAGATGATGTACTACCCGCAAGCTGTAAAACATTTTTTTTCTGATCAAATTCACATAAATTAATTTTTTTTAATGTAACTCCATCAACATTTAGGGTTCTTTATTTTTATTATCAGAATATTAGTTATTTTTGTTATTCCACATGTCTACAGTGATAACTAATGCCCTCTCAAAATATTAAAATAATAATAACTAAAAATTCTTGAATGAACTATTGAAATATATTCCTTAACAAAACATCAGGTAAATACTAAATTAATTTGTAATTTTAACTTTTACAGTGAAAAAATAAGAAAGGAATTCGTAATTTTCAATTTTTTTTCAATCAAATGTTGTAATAATAACAAAGTATTGTTCTTTTTATTCCGTTTTATATATATATATTTATAAGGTGTTAAATCAATAAGTTGCTTCACCATTTCTATGCAAGACTGCAAATTAATTAATTTTAATTTCAATTCTAAAGTATTTTTATTGTTTTGATATAATATCATTTTGTTATATTATTTAATTAGTATTATATTTTTATTGTCCATAATTTCTTCTTCTACTCTGCAGATTTGTTTAGGAAAATTGTTGACATGAGTATTGTATTGTACAATTGTATTGTATTCATATTGAATAATCCTACTGTGGAATAATGAATATTTAAAAAAATATATATTAATTTAACTATAAATAAAAATAGAAAATCCAATAAAAATAATTACATTCTTAAAAATTAAAAAAATATTGTATATTCTTTCATTTTCTTATATACTATTATACACTACAGTAACAATTTAAATATGTATCCTTTAATGTTTTTGTACAAAATATTTCATATCAATTCTATTTTATAAATGTCTATATATCAAATCATAGAACTATTTTTAATATCAAGTTATAATAAATATGAATATTACATTTAATCTTTAATATTTATATTTAACCAGTTGGTCTGATATTTGCCTTATTAAAATACTATTAATCAGTAAATAAAAATATCTAATATTTATTTAAATATTTTATTACAGGTGACATTTTCATCAACTTGTGATGTGCTATGTTCATTTACTCGAGATTATGACCTAATTAAAGCAAAAATCACACAATTAGAATTCAGAACCAACACCTGCTACCCACCTGTAATACAGACTATTAATTATTTAGTTCATAGTGAATGGTCCAACTCAGTGACATGCCAAGTTAGTTACTATTCAAGAATATAGTTTAAATTAAAATTTAATTAATTTTAATATTTTTATTTGTTTTTAGGTTATAATGATTACTGATGGTAATTGTTATGAAGGTCTTCGGAAACCAGATATGACTCCATTTCTGTTTCCTGGCAAACTTATAGTTGTTCCCTTAGATCAAGTGTCATCCCTTTACAAAAACAATTATGACTCAAACAAACTTCCAAATGGTCTTGGGCATATAATGTCTCCTGAACTACCTCTGACCCCATCTTCAGTTGCTAAAGTATTTGAGAAAATTTCTAAAGAAGCATATGTACCATATAGTGCAGTATTACGATGTGGTCATTTAAAATCAGATATTCATTTAATTCCTCCCCCCTATGGTATTAAACACAAAAACTAATTTGATTATCACTATTTTTATTTCATATTTTATTTTAACTTTCTAGTCTTATACAAAAGCTGCAGATTTTGAGATAACTACCTGTTGTATTTCAAATGAACTGAGTATTATTGGATTTCTTGAGTCTTCAAGAGTAGAATGCCCTGCTACTTTATCGCGTCATCTTGTTTTACCTCAACGAGTTTCAGATGAATGTGTTGAAAATAATGAAGCATCTTCTAAAACTCCATCATTTTGTGTGTTATTACATGGAGCATTAAAAGTACTAAATTTAATATTTATAAACTGTATAAAAATGATTATAACTTATACTAATATTTATAAAATGTTGCAGGTAGAAAACATGACAGCTTTATGTCAGTTAAGCTCTAACTGGTATGGATTATTGGTTAGTTGGGCAGATAATAAAAAAAAATCTAATCTTATGTTAATTACACTTGAACCTGGAACAAATGCAATCCCTTGGTTAGGTGATATTCAAAATCTTACATTATCACCTACAGAGTTAAGCAAAACTGGTAAACATTTATTTCAACATAATGTTATGTATATGTATATTTATAATTAATCCTTAAACTATTTCAGAACTTGAAGAATCACAACCTGTAAAAACTTCTGATAAACGTAGTTATAACCAGTCACAATTGGTTTGGATCAAGGAAGCTGGTCTTCAAGCAGATATTCAAAAAATTTTAAGACAAGCAAGGAAAATGCCTGATAAAATTCCAAGTTTTTATAAAGTAACTAAAATTTAAATAATCAAATTAATAATAAACTTAAGTTTAATTTTAATTAAATTGTCTTATTCAGGAATTAAATCGAATTCGAAAAGCTGCAATTGCATACAGTTTCAATGATCTATTGACAAGTATAGCTGACTTACTGGATCTAGAATGTAATAATTTGCCAGGCGGTACTCATCCAGATTGTGCTCTACAATTAACTCATGCTGCTATAGAATTACGAAAACCTTATGCTATGGACCCTAAACTTTCAATCGGTCCAATGATAACAAAATATACCCACCATGATCTTATGTAATTTATAATCAAAAAAATAAATGATTTGTGGTATTTTATCAAGTTAAACTCCTTGATTAATAGGCTCATGTAAATGAATAATTTAAGAAAAATTACATTTTTGTATTTGTTTATGGCTGATTTTAAATAAATATGTATATATTTTTTTTAATTTAAAGTTTATTGTTTCATATTTATTTTACTATTGATATCAAGATCTACATTAATAACCTAATAGTTACCATAAAATATTACTTTTTATTATTATTGTAAACTAAGTATAACAACAATAGTACAATTTTAGACTTAAAATAATCCAAATATTGATTTCTAATTCGGATATTATTTGTTATTGGTTAATAACTATTATATTCTTGTTTCATAAATATATAAAATAAAAATAATAATTAACAATATAAACTGTTTTAATAAGTAACTAAAAAACAAAGTATTACAACAAATGCTTATGGATCATTCATAAATATAATACAGTTCGAGAAACTAATGAATATGATCAAAATTATAAGTCTCCATTAATAATTGTCTTTATTTGTATTTTTTACATTTACTGTAGGAAAAAATTTTAATTAGTGCAAAATATAAGTAACTTTTGGTAAAATTGTATAAATGAAATATTTAATATAATAATATATTTATTATATGTACATGTATTTTGATATTCATATAAACTAAGAAAACCCTAATATGTTTAACAGTTAATGCTTATAAATTGTCAATAATATTAATCTTTTTATTCAAGCAGAACAAAATAAGATTTTTTTGTTAATTTAAAATTAAGTACACAAGAAAAATTAAATATTTAGTTATAAATAGAAAAAAAAATACTGTTTAAAAGCTGTCACTTTTTAGTCTATATTTTAATAGGTAATTTTAACTTAATGTATTTAAATATTTTATCATAAGTATTTGACAGGGTTATAAAGTGAAGAAGAAGAAGTTACTATTTTCCGACGAATAGTTAATATCAAATGTCAGATTAAAGTAAAACATGTGAAAAAAAAGTTATAGTTAAATAAACTATTAATAACATGTCAAACGCCTTTACAATTTTTATTATCATTGTCAAGTAATCCTGGAACACATGACCTTTGTAAGAAAAAAATTGTTTTTTTTAAAATTCTATCTAGGTAAGTCTTAAATTTGTTATTATATTTTTTCTCTTACAATACAGAACTTTTGATTTTTGAACACTGTTATTGTGTGATATTATGTATACCAATATACCACTGCGATAGCTATAGAATTGCCTAAAAAAATTGTTTTTGAAAATGAGTACCATCAACTTATCCAAGTCTGTGTGTTACTATATAATATTTATAATACATTAAATTAGTACATAACTAAATGAGCTCAAATAATTAAACTTACAAAACCTTAACATTGTGTAACAATACTCTCTTCAAGTTAATGATTCTCAAAACTTACTGGAAAGAGATACATAATATTTCCATACCCTGATAACATATTATTAAGTGTACATGTACAGATACAATTATGATATATGGCATACATAAATATAAAAAATACGTTCATACACCTATCTCTACTGAACTTTGGTAAACATTCCCAACCCCATCGCACACCGCGATATACTTGATATTGACTAGTCATTACACTTTTCAGTACTGCTACCACAACGTGACGTTGTCGGTAGAGAATAACATTATATATAACTATACATAATACATAAATAATATTTCTAATGCTCGCGCATATTACTTCTAAAACGAAAAACGTAATAAGATGATGAAGTTGATGACGATAACAATAATGATACTTTGATATCGAGCCTTGATCTTTGGACGGATGTAAAACAAACAAAAAACAAAATAATTTAAAAACGGTCACACCGAATTATCGGCTTATTAATAATTCGCGGCTTCGTAAAATAGTATATACGCCTCGTTGCTGATAAGTTTGGTGCTCGACTGCGCCTTGGACACCGAACTGTCGTTGAAAAAGTTCCAGTCGCCCGTGGTCGGGTGCTTGCACAATGCTGTGTAGTGTCCGGCGATCGGCGTGCCCATGTGGTTGGACACCGCGTACAAGTTGTACTTTGTACTGTGCGGCTGTATGCCCCGGGCCGATCCGGACACGTATGGGCTCATATCCAACGATACGACAGGGAACGCGACGTTCGACGTGATCTTCTTGTACAATTGGGTGCCCTGGAAACGTTTGAGATGCAACACCAGGTATCTGGGCAACTTCTGGAAACGGTACGCCTTATACATTTTTCGGTCCACCTTGCACACGCTGCACCGAGGCCGTTCGCGGAAATCCAACACCTCTTCCTGCGTGAAGTTCTCCAGCAAGTCGGTAATGGACACGTTGCTGGACGAACCGATGGACGGCAGCGGTAGCGACAAGTCCCAGAACACCTGCGGGCAACGATGACGAGGTGATAATAATCATATATGCAAATGATAGGATCCAAGCAAGAAGGTAATTATAAAAAGTGTGTATGTTAGTGAAACGGCGAACAGGGCAAGCGCGCCCGCAGGATAAAATTCCACCCTGAGCAAGATTAAAATTCTAAGGGCCAAAACAACGTGTATCGAAAAACAGATGAGAACAAAATCAAGTACCATAGAAATCAGTACTCGGGAGAATTTATAGTTTTAAGCGATATGCAGTCCACGTGTAAACATCGTAAACCAATAAATACGTTCAAGATTATACATTTTAGATTATCTAAAAACATAATAAATTTTACTAAACTTCATAAATGGATCTCCATAAAATTATGTTGTAATTAATGCGCGTGGTATTAAATTAACCATAGTTTTGAAACGAAAATTCCCAATAGGGGCAATGGCCCCTTTGCCCCCTCCTGCGGGCGAACAGGGATTTGATAAACGCGCGTATTACGTAATTTAGCGCCGGCGGACGGCAGGCGGTTTGCCAGCGGAATGCATATGCGTATAGTATTTTTAATCTCATCAGAATCCGGGTCAATTATTATTACAGTCGTGTCTCCGTATTGTAATTACACGCCATCCTACACAACACTATACGCGTTTATTCTAAACACGATACACCTACCTCGAACGTGATGCTCTTGTGGCCGCACACGGAACACTCAAGGGTCGACTTGAGCTGACCTGCGAACAGGTCCACCACGGTACTGTTATCGGTAGCCAGGTACCTTTGCCAGAACTCGGCGGCCAGCGCGTTATCTTTGAGCGTATCGTCCACGTCGGGCATGGCTCGGGGTTTGACCTTCACCCTGTTCACGTCCATGTGCAACTTGTCGAGCAACAACCGGAGGAACTCCTGCGCGTCCTGCTGGTCGTAGCCCACGAACCGCGGAGACAGCCGCTGGAACGCCGATTTGAACGCAGTGGTATCCACCGGATGGCTGTCGTTGGACATCCATATTCGGGTTAACAGGTCCCTGTACACCCGGATCAGCTTGCCGTCGGCCCCGTCCGCTTCGTCCAGCACGCTCTCCGTCAGTCCCTTGGTGTTGCTGAGGCACTGCAGCACCGAGTTCATGTAACACGTGTTCCCGATGTTCCGGATGCCCACCACCCCCCTCTTGGACACGTCCGACCTGTTGTACGCGGATGACGTGGACGTCTCTTGCGCCGTGCCACTGCTATTGTCCGCAGTAGTGGCGCCGTATTTAGTCCTATAGTTCATGTTCACATACCTGGATGGCTGCTGCGGCACGTCGCTGGACGGCTGCGAGTCCTGCTGCTGTTGCTTGTTGTACTTCTCGAAGTACGACAGGTTACCGGCCCTGTAGTTGTACGTCTTGTTCAGCAACGACGACGGCGATCTGCTGCTGCTGCTGGTGCTGCTGTAGAACGCGTCCAAACGTTTTTTCGTTGCGTCATACCGTTTGTCGTTGCCTAGCAGCAGCGCAGCTGTGGCGGCGGCCGACTTTCCAACGTCTCCACCGCGGGTACCCAGGGCCGTCGATCCGGTGGTCGAGTACGCGGACGGCGACAGGCTCTTGCTGAGGCTCAACGACCGGATGTTGCCGTTGATGTCGGTCAACCGGGACGACGAGCAGGACGTGGAAGACGGCACCTGCCTGGGCGCGCTGTTGTACGCCCTGGACCGCCGGTCGGGGCTCAGCTCGGTGGTGGTCAACACGTACGACGATGACGCGGAGCCGCGTTGATATCTGGACGCGGTGCCCGTGGCGGTAGCGGTCCTGCCGGTGCCGTACTTGTCGGCCGACGACGACGACGACGACGCGTACATGTTAACGACGAACTACGATGACCGCGGCGGACCGGACCACGGGATCGCGTAACATGTCCGTCCGGCGCCGTGCGTAGCACGCACCACCGCTTGTCGTCGGTCGCGTAAACGAACGGCTCTCGGAAAGCACGCCTGCTGCCAAACGCGCCGTCCGCGATGTGTGCACTCGTCCCCGCGCCGCGACCGTCGTCGTATTCGCGTCGCGTCGTACCGTTTCTTTTTCACGCGCGCGCGTGCCGCCCGCCCCGCGTGACGTCAGACGCGCGGCATCCTTCCTCTCCCGAACATCTGTTCGGCCGACAATTATTGTTATTATGCACACAACCGTTCGGCCGGCGAAAACGGTGGAATGATCGATGTGCGCGCGCGTCCCTGCACCCGAAACACCCGCGCCTCGAAACGCGCGCGCGCGCGCGCGTGCGGTATTTTTAGCCCGTCGGCGCCACGCGCACTATCACTGGTACCCGTAGGTGTGTACAATAAACATCCGTCGCGCGCGCGCTATCGATGCGCGGCGGCCAACCATCGATAGACCGTCCCGCGATGTCGCACGGCGCGCGCCCGCCTATTGATTAACCTAGTTCGTCTCTGCGTTTTATTTTAGCCGTTCGCGCACTCGTACAACGTGTACGTGTGCGCCGTGTACGTGCGCGTGACGGCACTCCAATGCCACCACAACAGAGCGCACACCCGCGTACGTACATGACTTTTTTTTTTTTTTTACGTGCGTTTACGTGTGTGCGTGCGTAGTATACGATACGCGCGCGTACACGCACGCGCCGATGTAATATGTGTAGCCTTGACAGGGTTTTACAATAGACACGATGTGGCGACCGTTTGTTTGAATTTTTATCATATCCTCCGCAACGCTCCCCGCCCATCCTACCGCACTGCTATTATTATATTATTACACGCGTTTGTATACACCGAACCGCACGCCGGTCGGCGATACGCTATAAATATATACGTTACGGCTTTGGTTAAATTTACCGAGAAAAAAAATTAAAAATATATACGCTTTGACATTGCAGCAGTCTTCGGTTCCGAACTTTGACCGGCCGCAGCCGCGCGTCTCTACGGGCACAGTACATTTTTATTTATTGCACGGATATCCAGCGTCTCGCGAGAGCTTCGCGTTCATCATACATTCGGTTTTTCGTTGACCGAACATGGTATGCGGCACAAATTGGATTAACCGCCGCGTGAGGTTTCGCGTGCGCGTGCCAAGACACACTACGCCGGCCAAGGCCACGCGGCGTATCTTTCTCTCCTCTGGACGCGCGCGGGCGTTGAAATCAATATTTTCCTATAGATTTCTCGTACACGTATTCGTGTATAGGTACCCGTTTTTATTTTCTTCTGCTTTTTCTTTCCGCCAAAACGGGACCACACCTTTTCGGCGTACGATTAACATTGCATTCTGGCACGCGCGTATGTACATCGTCATATATATGGCTGTATGATACATCATAATATGTGTACGTCGTATATGAAATATTTATTTATATATTATAAACAGCGCCGCAGTGAAATTATAAATAATTATAAATATACACTGTAAGAAGACTCGAACCATCCCTGATCTATTTTATACGAGTATTTGTTTTCGAAAACTTCAAAACACAATCAGAAATATAGAATTATACCGTTTTTATAAATGTATCAGGTATGTCTATGAAGATAGTTATTTTTTTACACTGACCAATAGACATAAATTTATTTTCAAAAGACACAATAAAATATTATCAACATTTTCTTATTTTTAATAGTCCTATTCTATACATATATATACATATATATATATATATATTATATTTATTTATACGGCATATCCATCGCGAATCGACATTTTAGATATTTATGAATTTTAAACAATAAAATGAATTGGTACATATACTAACTGAAAGAATTATCAAATGATCATGGATATCCTCGAGATAATTGGTATCTACTGAAATTAACCCAAAGACCTATGGTTACGATTGTCGATTATAGTCTATACTAGTGCTCTGCATGGCCCGGTCCGAAATGACCGCACCATAGTCCGTTCTTATCGTATAAAAATAGATGAAGGATTATTTCGATTCGACTGCATATTTTTATGTATGATTTCGGTCCGGTCCTAGTTTAAACTATGTTAATTTCAATTCGTCCGGTTTCTACAATGTCATCAGATCGGTTCGGTCTAGACCAGTTGTTCCCGACTAAGCGAATATATGACGTTTAAATCCATTGAACAATGATTTTACACTTTTAAAACATATTTAGAATTTGTAATACGTATATTATCATGGGAATCAATATTTTAGCCTAGTGTCGTTGTTTTTGTACCATGTAGATAAATAACTCAGAGCTGTTCATGGTACCTATTATTAATAACTATCAGAAATATTTTCAAGAACAACGATTGTAATTATTCTCATTGTGTCGTGGGTGACATGGAAGGGCTTGTTGCTGCCATCCGATAGAATTTATATTTACAATCAATGTTAGAATGTACTTTTCTATGTAATACATATTACAGTTTTATAGTGATCTACGAGCAATTTAAATCTATAACAATTATCAATTATATGGTATAATTTAAAACTTTCATTGTCCGACATTTTTTTTTAGTTTGTATTTTAGTTCGTTCACTCTATTAAATTATATTACATTTTCGGTCCGGTCCGATGGAAAAATAAAATTGAAATAGGTCCGGTCCATAAACTATTACAGTCTACAATTTGTTAATTGGGATCGGCGGTCCGATCTCGATCCACGCTAACACATTATTTTAAATTTTCTGTCTGGTTCTGTTTTTTTTTTTTTTTTTATTTATTAATTTATTTTTTACCGGTTAATTTCGGTCCCTGGGTTTACGTAAAGACTAGTATTCTGTACGGTAGTTTTAGAGATTAAACCAGACACAAAAAAAAAAACTTTAAACTTTAAATATAATTTAGATTCGATTCTTTATTAACATTTGTAGTCTGGTTTAATCTCTAAAATGACCGTACAGAACACTAGTCTTTACGTAAACCCAGGGACCGAAATTAACCAGTAAACCCTTAAAAATGTAAGAACCATAACCTCAATTTTAAAACGGTTAATTTTAATTAGTAGTAATACAGATCTTGTTAGTCGGTTCAGAAAAATAAAAATCAGATTTTTTAATGGTTATTATTCTCTTGTGTTATGAACTGTACTTTGTAATAAATAAATGAATACGTAGCCTGGAGTATTAATATATGAGTAATGTACGACCTATTTTGAATTAACAATTCATCATTAGGTATTCACAAAATTAATAAAATCACGACTATATAAATACATAAATAATGTATTATTTTTTTCGATTTTGACCAACTAAGTCGCATTCCAGTTATTAATACGTACAAATTAAAAAGAAAAAGGTGGTAACAGATACATGTTTATAATAAACAAATTATACAATAAGCTTTAATTCATTTTATTTAAAGAAAAATGTATAGGTTTGAGTTAGAAACAAAAGCATCAATCAACGTAAAAAAAAAAAAAAAAAAATAGATTATTATTATAATTAAATATACTCGAAAAATTATTTAGTTTAAAAAATGTAGACTAAAATCATAATAAAAATCTATTTAGGTATAACATATTAACATCATGGATCGCTATTACTTTTTGGTATAGATATTCTTGTATATCTATTATTAATGTGGTCTTTGGGTTGAGACTTGAAAGCAATAATTTATGTTAATGCAAATATTTTACTACCCCTCTCGCCATAAGTTGATTGGTACACTAGTATGTAATCGGCTATCGTCATATGACGCGTTTCAAATTACTATCAATTTTTTGGTTGGCTATTTACATTACGCATTGTATGCTTAATATACCTAGTTCCAATGTTGATCAATGGCAACGACATCCATATCCTCTCAATTGTCCATCATGGATCCCTCCCATAGTCACCATATGATTGTATATGTTATAAGGGTAAGCAAAAAAGGACAGGAAACGATGAGTTCCGGGCCCCTCAATAGTTCTCGCGGAGTCTGATTACGGGTAATTTTAACATTTGACTAAAGTCGACATTATCCATGCATGTTGGCTAATGTGTAATTGTTCGCGTATAAACATAAAACATCAAATAAATCTGGTTGATGGTAAAACATTAAATAAGAGTTTTTGTTAGCATTCTACAGGGCGGTAGCAACCAAATACTGCGCTTGGGGCAAAATTTCAAAATGCGGCCTTAAGTATTTTAATTTATAAAAAACTGAATATTTTTGCTCCACTAGCCCCCCCCCCCCGCTTGCTACAGCCCTTCCATTCTGTATACTATAGTATCAAAATAATAAAGAGTCAAACTACCAGACTATAATTTATCTTATTTTATCATATAATTTATCTTAAAGATTTAATGAAAAATAAATAAATGTAATATTCTAGGTAGGTATCTTAATTGAACGATGTTTCTGTTATAACTTTATATGCTATACAAATACAAATCTTGATTTTCTGTTTTCGCATTTAATACTTGTGGGTGCAATATTATATTTTAAATCTTATTTAACTAAAATATAACTAAACATAATTTTATTGTTATTTGAAAAATTGTTCTCTGGAAAACGAGAAGATAGTTAATTTTATTTATCATGATTCACTTGCAAGTGAAAACTACTTCAATATAATTGATGAATTGAAAGGTGGCAAAAAATCTCTCCGTTTAGTGTAATATGTTTTTATATTAAAAATAATTTATAGTAACTAATCAAGAATTACGACTTATATTACTTAATTTTTTTTTTTAAATTTATATTTTGATGATTCGTAAACTACACATAAGCCAAATGTTGACAATTCCCGTAACATATACATTTATTATAATTGCCGAATAATTGATTAGCTATCATGACGTCACTGTATACCTATTTATATTAATGAGACTCGCTCGCCCAACAAAAGGAAACTATTATATAATATGTTTATGTTTGAGAATCAGATTATTTAATAACTATAACATATTGAAATATACCAAAGTAATGTACATAGAATTAATTAAATCAATAAAATGATGATGAAATATTATTGGCTTATAGTCTTATCAGTGACGGTCTGACCCACTTGGATACCCGGCAATCGCCGGGGGGCCCTGAAATTTATTCTTAAAATAGGGGTCCAATTAGGGGCGAATCCTTAGTAGTTATTAGAGCTGAAAGTGGATTATAAATGTATTCCATGTAATAAAAAAACAATGTGATCATATAATATTAATTTTTTAAGTTTATTCATAATAACCATTATTAACAATTATCTTATTTTATGGAATCTTACATGAGATCTGACATAGGGATTTTTTATTTTACTATACAATTAAACCAGTGGCGTAATTTGGGGGGGGGGGGGGGGGCTGGGGGAATTTGTCAGTTTATTTTTAATTTCAACTTATAGTCTGTTCACGTAAAAAATATAAGAAGTCTTCAAGAGGCCAATTTAGTCAATAAATATTAATTGTGGGTCACCTGATCTCCTGAATCTCTCCTAAAACATTTTTAATAGGTATTTATTGAATATCACTCCAATATTAATGATATTACCTATGTTGCACATTGTAAATTTTTTGCCGGAGACCCAAACATGAGCCAGACCAACACTGAATCTTATGTACATATTTTATGATACTATACATATATACTACATATATGAATACAACAAACCACAGCGGTGTACCTTCTCGTTCACTTCAATAATTATTTACTAGTTTCAAAAGTTTAAATGTGAACTTATACGGGCGATGGTCGATAAGGATGTTAATTATCGTTTATAAATGACATCAATAAATTACTATAATTTGTATGGAACACATTACGGTCGGTTAGTACCGCTATGAATATATTGATACATAAATACGTCTATACTACAAAATATCGTGTAACAATATTATGACGTATAATATGATATAAACGTTTCACCATATAATTTAGAGTTCATACTTCACAATATGCTTTTATATTTTGTATAGTTTGTATAAACAGTTACAGCATTAAGATTCTAAGAGCAAATCGATTGTTATATTGTATATAAAATATGTGTTCAAGAAGGTTATGTACCTACTTATATAATTTCAGAAATGTATATTAATACTATGTAAGTTGTGTTTATATATATATATATATATATATATATATATATATATATATATATATAAGACTTTCAGCCTTTTTAAATACAATTGTAGGTATCCTTTATGAATGATCCGCAAATAGCCTTCAAAAGTCGAAAACCTATTTTTAAATAAGTGACCTGTGAATAAGAACCACAGTATAGTCAGTAAATAAGAAAAATTAATATAAGGTCTGGTAAATTATACATGTCCTAAAATAGTTAAAAATAAATCGATGTCCTAAAGGCTTTTCTATACTATACCAATATTGGTAAGAGTAAAAATTCGTTATTGCTTGTATACGTTTCAATTTACTAAAAGCAATAACTACATTAATCTATAAAACCATTTACAAAATATGTAAATGAAGAATTAATATGCACTAATTAATTTAATTCGGACAGTTAGGTACATTAATTATTAATTGAACTACGTAAATTATCATTTAGTATTTCAGTTCGAAACATTAATGCATTTAAAAAAGCATGTAAAGTATTCCGATAAATTTACGTGGGTACACTCCACGTCAAGGTCTTAACATTTTAACGAAATGTAAAAACAAATACCATCATTCGACTTCTGTTCATATAAAATAAATAATAAATTTATACAAATATTTATACAAAATTTAAAGCATGAAACTTTTTTATTGGCGTACAGAACTTATGGTACACCTAGTGATAAAAAATAACATCTTAAAACTCTTTAATGCAGAGGTAGAATAGCTATAAAACGTTTTTCAAATCTCTAACATAAGAACTTTGGTTATTTCTTCAAATAAATAAAATATTTAACGGCTTTCCATAAGAAAAATCAATTTCTGTCTTACATTCAAATATATTTGTAGGTAATTTCAATATTATATTGAAATAATAGTCAAGATTTTCTAAATAAATATTAATAGCGAAGAAAATAAGATATATTAATATAACAAAATAGTACTCCCAATAGGATTTAAAATCGATTTTTTAAATAGTTACTATTCATTTTTTATAATTGATAAAATGTTTATATAGTTATAATTAAATATAGTGTTTTAGAACATATAAACTGTGTAAATGAAATGCAAGTACATTAAACATGCATTTATTTCTTGAAACTGTGTTACTTATCAAAGTTAATTACTGTCTGTTTATTTTTATTTAAATCTTAAACAAATTAGAATTACTTTTTTACTTTAGCCATTATTTAAACTCTCAGAAACAAATTAAAAAATGAAAATTCATCCTAAAGTTATTCGTTTTTAATTACTGAATCAATTATTCCTACATTTAAATTATTTTTACACTTCCTCGTAGAAGAAATTAATATTTAAAAACCAGTTGGGTTAGATTACTAACGCAATACTACTGTACCTACCTATGGTATCCTATCTAAATGTAAGAGTTCTATGATCTGTATAAAGATTTTTAAATCTGTAATTCAAAATGGTTTTTTTTATTTTAATTATGCTACATATAATTAAATGGAGAATATCGTGGAGTATTTTTATTCTCAATCTGGATACATCAAATTTGATAATTTATACTATTGTTAATAATTAATTCGGAATAGTTCAGATTTTATTAAAAACAATAATTTTTGGCTTCCTCGAAATTTATTACTTGCAGTTTTATCAAAAATTATCGTATATTTTGTCGTTACCTCAGTAAAATATAATTATAATTTGCTAGGGTAGACAGATGTTTTTTTACTAGTAACCGGCATATTATTTTGACCGTTTTAATGCCGATTTTGAACATTATAAAAACTAAGAAGTACCTAGATAATAGTTATAGTGTAAAAATATGTATGTTGAATATAAGTAACTTTACTAATTCATTTAATACGAATATACCATAGTAATAGACAATAGATGGGTAACGGATATATTTACATTATTTTTATTTGATTATATATTTGTTCATGGAGACTAAAGATTTCTTATATAATTAGATTTTAATTCTAATAATCTATAGATTATCTAACATACACGTAGGTGGTGTTAAGTAAGATTTTTCATAATCTTAGAAGTGCTCGCTTCCAACAGTACTTAGGACAAGCATTAACTCTTCCTCTAGATCATAGATTCTTAACCTTTTCTTAGTCATGGACCCCTTTAAAGCATAAAATAAAATCACGGACCCCCCTGCAAAAAAAATATATATGTATAGGTAAATAAATATAATTTTTATTATACAGCGACGGGTCAACAGAAGTGATAGGTTTCAGTGTTAAATTGAACTGCTCGTTAGATTGTATTGTCATGTTATATTATTTTACGATTACGATAGCTTTTTATGGCATATAAGATTATCGTAATCTAGGTTTTATATTTAAAAACATTGTTGTCTTTCAAATGGCTTTCGAATGTTTTAACAATCATAATTATTTTAAAAATACTATCAAAACAAATTTATTTTGGCTTATTTCAAAAAAAAATCACAGCCACCCCGTGGACCACCGAGTAGTCATCTACGGACCCCCAAAGGGTCCATGGACCCCGGGTTAAGAACCTATGCTCTAGATCCAGCATTACTTGTGAATCATACATAATTGATATTGAACAGTAAATTGACGCGGCAATAATAACGCATTTACAATTTTAAAATTATTTGGAATGGAACTAATTACTAATTTTTTCATAAAAAGTTTATGATTTGCCACTTTCAATACTCTAAAATTATAAATACATCACTAAATATTTTTTTGGAATTTGTCTCAAAATTAACGATATTAGAGTACTTTCTAAAGATGTTTCAATTTCAATCTTAACAAAGCATTAATCAATTGCTCTATAAAATTTCTCTAAAGAACTTAAAATGTGTAATATACACTCTATATTTTAAAAAAAGTAAAATGTTTATTTTAAAGACAATCGTAGCGAGTTTGTTATATATTGTAAAATTATAATAAAACATATAGTGAGTTATGATACATTACAATATTCATTAGGATAATGTGAATTTACTTTAATACATCAAATTAATGTACTTAAAAAATATTAACAAAATGGTATAATAATTATGTAGAAAAATATAATCCTAAATGTGATACTGAATAATAAAATTAGATAAATAAATACAAATTTAAAATCATTGAAATAATTAATTCATAAACATAATTTAACATATAACATTTTTTATTGTAAAGTATAATTTAAAATAAAATCTATTAGGTAGGTTACCTTTTTATCTATTCAAGTAAAAATAAAGTAACATTACTATCAAAACTATTTAATAAAAATGTTTCTTGTTGTTAATTAGTATTCTCCAATAAATTATCATTAGTCTAAAAACACTTATTGGCAAAAAAATTTAAATAAAAAAATATGCCTAGATAATATTAAAAATAATAATAATAATTGTAAATAAAAATTATTTTCGAAAATTTTCAATATTATGTCGTTATACCTACTTAATTTTGTACAGTAATTATTGAGTTTAATAACAAATTTAATAATTTTTCCTGTGACAAACTCAAAAACTCAAGGACTGAATTACATTTGTAATTTTATTCTGTAGATAATTCTTCAACTTAAAACATAAGCATGGTTAAAATTGTAATAAAACATTTGTTTTATGTCAAATTTTTATTTTTGTCAAATGTCCCAATAACAAAATTTAAAAGATTGTAGTTGAATATTTAACTTATAGATGTCGCACGCAGCGTCATCTTTCTCATAAAATTAACCATGACCATTTCTATATCATATAATTTCCATGTTCATATATTTAGGCAGTTTTTGTCGTAAATTATTTGTCAATTTGTTATTTTATTATGGGTTTTCACACAGCCTCAAAATGCCAATAATAAAAACAGATTTAATCTTATTTATTCAACGAAGCTAGAAGAATTTGTTTATCCAGAAATAATGAAGTTGTAACTTTATAGCATAGATTAATAAAGAACATTGTTCTTCTCATAACAATCATAATATTACATATAGAAGTGATAATTAGGTATGTTTAAATTTGATTTCTAATATATTTGTAATTTTTGTAATCAAAGTAAATAATTAAGAGGTGCTGAAGAAAAATCTTTAGCCTTAAAGTTCCATCAATTTCATCTCATCTCTTATTTAATTTTAAAAAATTCAAAACAATGAAATCAAAACCACTAGTAACTTTTAGTAAGTTTATTATTATATATGTTTTTAATTTTCAAAAATGTTATCAACAACTGTAGTCAAAGAATATTCATTGAAATAAATCTGCTCCTATATTACATTGTATACACTCCGAGTAAACCCAGTTATACTTTTATAATTATATAAATGCAAAGAAACTAGGATTAACTTACTAGGTTATATTTATTAAGATTTATATAGATATTATTTTTTAAAAACGCATATCTCATAGAAAAATACTTTTTATTACAAAACTTTGTTCCTTATACCTATTGGATATCTTTAAAATAATTAGACTTATATTTATAAAATATTTATTAAAATATATACCTACCTAAAATGATTAAAATAAAAATATAACAAGTGTAACAATAAAAATAACAAAACTTAATTCAAAAATCACATATTTTAAATTAAATCAAAAAGAAATTTGTTCCAGTAATTTTTTAATTATGCATTTAAGTTTCTCAGCTAATTTTTCAGCTGTATTATCTTGATCCAAGTTAGGTACATGGATAAATATTGTTTGATTTTTATTGATACTTAGCGACTTAAAGTAAATATATTCACACAAATACCTGTATAATACATAAATAATATTGAGAAATGCTATTTATGCTTTAAGCTTATAATTACCTTCCCGCATCATGAGATGTACATATATCTAGTTCATCAGTGCATTCTATTTTCAAGCCTGTTTCAATTACATTATTGACTACACTCTCATTATTTGGACAGTTTCCATGAATATCCATATTACAATAACCATGGCTATTAGCAAGTAACTCAACAGTTAAGATTTTAGCTAAGTGTGATACACCCAAATGAATCATTAGCTAAAATTTAAATAAATTGTATTGGAATCATACCAAGGACAACAATGAGCTACTTACAACTGGTTTATATTGATCCCACAAATCTGGCACAATCCGGTCTACATCTTTGTAAGACACAGGAACGTTGATCGTGACCAAATTTATGTTTAACTCATCAGCAATTCCAGTTGCAGGTAACATTCGAGCAACCTCCCAACTTGCATTCACTTGGTAATCACGGAAAAGTCCAAAACCAGTGACAACTACAATGTTTGGAGCCATCGTTTATTTGATAGAATAAAAATGATAGATATTTTAAGACAAAAAATACTTAAGTACTCTATGTACAATACGTTTAGAAAATAGGTATTTAAATGTCAACACTTTTATCAAAAATAAATTATATTTTCCTAGTTATAAATCGTAATGATAAGACGAGTTGATAAAGTTATTTATTCAAAGAGTATATAAAATATATTTTAAAAACAGTGATTCCGTATTATTGAATATTTATTACAATATTAATTATACACTTAATAAACCATCATGATGTAATACTTCTAAGGGACTTTTCAGTATTCGCTACCTAGAATTCAAATGATTTAAATAACCTCTGGTAGCTGGAAAAATATTCCAATGTAGAATAAGAATTTGATGTACCTAGGGTAATAAAGAAAATGCTGAAAACAAAATTATTCAAAAATGAAGCAATTCATTTTTAAGTTTGACCTTAATGGTAACACAAGTAAAGTTTTAATGTTTAACTAATTGTTCAACTTAACTCTTTGTATAAAACGTATAGCAATATAATTTTTCATTATATTTAAACACAGTTACATAATTTTATATTTTTTGTTGACTTTATGATATCTGCAGTTATATAATACAAAGTGGTTTGTTTGCGCATTATAAGAAATCTCCAATGTATACTAAAAAATAAAAAGTGCATAGTCAACAGCTAGGTTTATTTTATAATGTTTTACGCAAGTCATGTTCTAATATTTTATCATAAGACTTAATAAATCTAAGGATTAAATAATTAATATTTATTTAAAAATAAAACTAATTTTAAGAAAATTCAAAATTATTGAGTTGAAAATCTGAAAACAATAACTTTTAGTATTAAAAGAGGTTTGTGACATACTAACAAAAGGGTGCCTAAAGACACCTTTGTATAGGGTGCGGCAGTGCTGACTGATGATTTTTGAAAGGCTATAAATAATGAATAGTACAATTTAGAGAAAAACGGTTTGTATAAATAAAATCGGTATGAAAACACGAGATGGAGCTACAGAATACACAGATTGAATTTCACTCGATGTTTTACGACAAATGTACCCTAGGTGGTTTGTCTCTCTGAGGGGTGACATAGGCTAGCCAGCTTGCTTCCCTGATTTAAGCATTTGTGATTTTATCTTCTGGGGCTACCTTAAGGATAAAGTTTTCAGACATAGCTTCCATACTACAGAGTACTTAAAATAGAGGAGAAAATCATAGAAGAAGTCGTGGTCATACCAATTGAAACGAGTCGAAAATGATACATATGTGAATTTCATAAATCGTCTACAAGAGTGTATGGGATAACATAATATAACATAGATATCATATTGTATTATATAGCTGACGGCTACCATCTTAAAGATATAATTTTCAAAATGTGATTTTATACAGATTTTAATTATACAAACTGTTTTTCTCTAAGTTTTACTGTTAGTTATTTATAGTGTTTTAAAATTCGTCAGTCGACACTGCCGTACCTTTTACTTTTGAGATTATATAATTTGAAATTTAAACTGTAATCATAATCAACTGTAACTGTCTGTGGAAAAAATAAAACTCCCCCTTCTTCGAGATTCTAAGTCAGTAAAAAAATAATTTACTTTAAAAAGTAATACTAAATCGGTGTACTCAAACTTGAATGTACAAACTAACAACAATTGGTTAACAAATAAAATATATTTATTAATTTACAATCGATTTGTTCGCATTTTAATAATCAAAACATTTCTTGTTAAAATTCTAAAATATATAAAATTTGTTGAAAGTGCGTACATTTCTCTATTAAAGTTCAAGTGGGGGGTTTTTGTTTCTGTTATATGCTAACAGAAATTCAGATCGTAGAAAAGATATCCTGTAAGCGTGACTTAGATAAGGTATTTTTACATGTCTAATAGATTCTTCTATAACATACGAGTATAATGTATAAAACGTTTAATAATATTTTATATTTTTATAATATAATTATAATTTTGATACTTGTATATTACAAAATATTATTATAGTTAGTATATTATTCGTTAATATTTTCACAAGCCGGATCCTGAAGGGGTTATAGAGGGCATAACCTTCAAATTAATAATTAATACAATTCTAATTTTAATTAATAATTTACTTTTTTTTATTTTTAATTGTGTATTATCTTTTTGTTCTTTTGAAAAAAATACCCTCCTCCCTCCAAATATAGTTCTAGATCCAAACCTGTTTCACTATTTATTGTAAATCAATTTAAAACTTTAAGGAATTGAATATACTTACAAATTACAACCATTCTATGTAAATTAATAGAATTAAAAAAAACATTGAAAGCTCCATTAAAACAATATCAGACTTAATTTTACTGTAATATTTATGAGAACAAAATTGTTTACATTTTATTTTTTTCATTTTTGAGTTAATATTAATCTACATCAAATTATTATAAAAATTGTGCTAATTTTGATTTTTATAAACTTGATATACAGGTATATACTTAAATTTCAAATTAATATCCAATGATCACTGTCGAATATCTCATACACCTTACATCTTATTAGATGTATTTACTTATTTGTATTATTTATACTTATTTATATCATCTTTATATTATATAATCATAAGATTATCGATACTTTTAGTGACTAGTGATTTATGGTTATAACTTTCAATGTATCATTTGTTCTGAAAACTTGACCGATAATAAGGTTACTTTTGAATATTGATTAATTAATTATTTACTATCGTAGTATTGTAAACTGTATTTGACTTGCGTGTCATAATATTATTTTACTATTTTAATATAATCTTTAAATACAAATTTATAGTTTTTATTATTTAGTATTTACTAATTATTTCTACTCTACCTATATTAAAAATAACACTTGAAAATTCATATTTCTAAAATTATTTACACATCAATTTTTGAACAATTATTTATTATTATTTTTCTTCGTTCCAGTCAGATTATTAAAGTTAAATATGTTTTAATTACAACTTATAAGTTAAATATTTAAAACTAATTTTTAATCAATAATATATTTGTTATACATTTTGTTGTATAAAAAAATAAAATATTTTTCAGTTATTATTTTAACTAGAAAAAATTTTTTTTTAAAAAGTCATTTTGTTTATTATACAGAGTGCGGCAGAGCTGACTGACGAGTTTTGAAGGGTTATAAAAAACGAACAGTAAAACTTAGAAAAAAAAACTTTTTTTATTAAAAAAAGTATTGAATCCCATTTTTAAAAATTATTGTTTGAAAATTATATCTCGAAGATGGCGGCCGTCAGCATCAATACACTGTTGTAGACGATCTCTGAAGCTCTCATATGATTTTCGGCACGTTTCGACTGATATGGCTTCGATTTCCTCGGTGATTTTCTGTTTAAGGTCTTCTATGGTATGTGGGCGATATTTGAAAACCTTATTCTCAAGGTAGCTCCAGAGGAAAAAATCACACATGCTTAAATCTGGAGACCGTGCTGGCCAGCCTATGTCTCCTCTTAGAGAGACTAACCGCCCAGGGAACATTTGTTGCAAGACACCAAGTGATATTCGAGCTGTGTGTGCTGTAGCCCCGTCTTGTTGAAACCATACATTCTCTAAATCATGGTCTTCAGCCATTTCCTCCAACAAATGTTCCCTGGGCGGTTATAATATTGCAGGTTTATTATATTCTCATATTTAAATCCATACGAAAATTATGAAATTTATTTTCCTTAGTTTATATTATTTCAAGATTAATAAGAGTTCATAAAAAAAATTGTTTCTCAAATATGGATTATACATTTAGTATTTACTCAAATTTTAATTGCTATTTCATAATACTACATTGACAAAAATAGAATTTGACGCTACCAAAATTAAATTTAAATAATTAATCACCAACATATTATGAAAATAATTAATTTTATTGAAACAAAATAATAAGTAAATTGAATACTATCTGTATCATCCTGCGTTCCAAAATAGCAAAGTGTTCTTAATTTATCTTAATAAGTCTAATTAACTATTGTACAGGGTGACCGGAAATAATTGATAAAAATGTACAATTTCGTTTTAATAAATGTAAATAATAGCTTATGACAAAAAAGTATTTGGTATATGTGTAACGAATATCTTATTCAATTTTATCTTTGATACATTATTTTAGAATGGAGTTTGGACGAACTCAATGTTTTGCATTGTTTTTAGTCAATATTTTTTGGCAAATTAAAGGGTTTTATAAATGATACTCAAGAATCATCAATAATTATTGTTACAGTTACTTTTAATTTTAATTCTAATGAAGTAGTTACAAAAATTATCAGTAATTTTAAAACATTTTCAAAGTAGAAGATTATGAAGTTTACAAAAATGAACATAAAAATGGAACATCAGTAAGTGAAATCGATAGTAAATATATTGAATTAAATATATTTATATTTGTATTATAATACCTTCTATAATTGAAGTTTCATGTAATCAAAAGCTGCTGTTGGTGTGGTTATAATGATAATAGGTACTTATATTATTTATCAATTTTTAATATGTATTATGTATAGAATATTCTATACTATTTTTATTATTTAAATTTTTAGTTTATTGGTTGACTTTATAAATAATTTGTGTTCTGGTTTTGTTTTCGTTATTTATGCTAATAAGACTTTAAGTGTTTATTGTGTCTAATTTTAAAATAATGAACTACTTTGCTGTTGTAAACTTTGTTCTAAAAATATTTTATTTATAATATATTTTAACAGTTTGCAACACTAAAATTAATAAAATTATTTAATCAAGTGATCTAATATTCTTAAACTATACCTTTTTTTTCAATGATCAAAGTTGATGATCAATCCCATTCCCCACTATGACAACATTATTTGACTACCACTTGCTCTCAACTATATTTCTTTAACTGGGACAGAAGAATGAATTTTTAATGTTATGCTGGAATATTAAAAATATACTTAAATGTCATAAATTTATTACATTTTTTATATTTTACATAAATATAATTTATCAATCATCTTTGCTGTGAATGTATTTTTAATAATTTCAATATAATATTAGTTCTAATTAATATTAGTTCTATTTTATTGCGAGATCATACATATATAATACATTAAATAAATAAATGTATTTTTATAACTATTAAAAAATTCTACTTAAGTATATTATGTTTATTTTAATCACTTTATAATTTATTTGCTCCAGTTATTTATGAATGTTTAATAATACTAAGATCCATAAAACATTACTAAAAAATAATTTAATATATTTTATCTGAAAATGATTTTAATGTGTTTTAAAAATAAAATAAAAAAATTGTAAATAACATATTATAAAAATATTTCAATAATAATAAAAAAAAATTAATAAAATTTTATTACTTTAAATGAAATGCTTGTTATGCTTATTATGAAATTGTTGTCCAGTTCATTTTTTATTCTAAGCGAATTAAAGAAAGTATAAGTTTAACAATCATAATTTTTTTTTTATTTCTATTTATGCTATTTAAATGATATATTTCAGTGCCGTAACTAGAATTTGGCGAAATGGGTGGTTGCCAAGGGCGTAGAAATGTAAGGGGGCACGCTTGGGTTAAAATTGGTATATTTGTATTAAATAAGTGCCAAAATAAAATGCCATGGAGGGTAGCTACGGCATTGAGTATATCCATCTTACAGACATTTTGAGATTGGAAATATGTTCATTCATTTTCGATTTTCTCAATAGTGAACCTATATAATTTTCCAATTAAAAATTAAAAGAGTTTTAAATTTTCACAATGAAAATATTTTAAAAATAAATTTAAATATTTAATTTATAATTATAATAAATAAATATTACAATAATATAATTGCTGTATAATGTATCTCTTGCTATACATTTTCCATGGAAATAGTAAAAACACTGTGAGTGAATTTAAACACTAAAATTGACATGAGAACTTCTTTCGTCTATTGCCTAATACCATGAATTTTTTGAACAGTTAATTTCATCTTTAAATAGATGTAATATGGATTTTCCAAAAAATTGATATTTTTGTCATCTTTCCCCAGGTATTCATATTCATAATACACTAAACCAATTTACTTATATTCATTTTTCAATACTAGTGTAGCAAATTATTTATTTGAATTTTCCTATATTAATTTATTTTGGAAGAGAAATGGGAGGAGGTAGTTTTGGCGGTAAGATCCTCGATGGATCGTAAAGCCGGTGAAAAAAAAAATTATTTTGGAAATCGCAATCAAAAAGCTTTTGATTTTAAAAAGTATACCGTATTATAATATAAATATACAGGATCTATATACCTATATGAATATTGAATAACGTCACATATTACGAAATAGTACAGCCTATAATTTCTTATTAGTTTATAAATCGAGAATTATTTTAAATCAAATTGAAATGTACGAATAATAAATAAATTGCATTTCAGAAATTTATTCAATTGTAAAAGCTGAAAATGATACTTTTTAATATTAAAATAATTTCTTTCTTAAAAAAGCACGGTTAGCATAGGACTCCGACATAATAGGGTTATTCATTGTTATTATCGACGAAAATCAAGACTGTACCATACACCACATAGTTTATAAAATTATATAAAAATGAAGTAAATTAAACAAATATATGCGGGGCTCGGCGAAAATTCTGCATCAGGCCCTAAAATCCACCGTGATTCTGATTCTGCAGTATAATATTTTTTCATTAATAGATAACAACAGTGGCGCCGAACAAAAATTTGAATGGTCTGGTTAATATCCACCCAATTTAAAACTTACATTACCCCACCCAAGGACGTAATTTAAAGGGTTGGGAGTTCACCCCCTCCTAAACGTGTTTAATTTATTTCAGCATTTATGATAGCATTTAGGTATTAAAATATCTTAAATAGTAATAATTAAATGAGCAGTATTATAATTTATAGTTAGTTGGATTAATTCACTTATTAATCGTAACTGATCCACCACGGTACCACCCATCACCCTCAAAATATAAAAATATGGACTGATTATGACCAGACTTGAACTCTGAGTTCGGCGCCACTGGATAAAATGCGCACTAAATGTATACTGGATCCATAAACTTATTTAATAACATAGCGAAGAAATAACATATTATCTCATTTCTAATACATTTTTATAAAAGTGATCATACAGTAATTTAAAAAATTAACTATTTGTAAAACCACTTATTTATACTTACCAAAAACTTTACTAGTTATTGTCCTTCAACTTCACAAATGCATTATGCATAGTCGCGCTGATTTTACGTATTAAAATCTAATTCATGACATAATTTAATCGCGATAATTTGTACAGTTGTTCCTTTTATATATATTTAAATGGTATTTTCGATGAATGAAAAGGGGTACCAAAATATACAATTTCAGACAAATTTAAAATTTTTGAGCTTGACGATACGCGAATGCGCACTACAACTTACTTTTTTTAAATGACAACACCACTTTTTTTCTATATATTCGAGTGAAGTATTTTTTTTAAAATAATTTCTGTACAAAAAGTTTTTTTCTAATTACAAAATTGGCAAATTTGTAGTATGTTGAAGTATAATATTTAGGAATAATCTGGTTTTGATGAAATTTGAATTATGTTAAACTCCATATTTGAAAATCAAAATATGATGTTAATAATCTGTATATAAACAAATAAGACATAAATAAAGAAGACTCTGCTGACATTTGTAGACTGATGAATCTTAATTTAAAAATAATGGTATAATAAATAAAAAAATCATACAATTTTGGACAACACAAATCCACACAGGTCTCGAGAAATTAACTTTCTGCCAGTCTGGGTTATAAATGTGTGGTGGAGGTTAATAGATGGAAAACTTTTAGGTCCTTAATTTTATGACTGGGGGACTTACAAGTAGAAAATATCCAGATTCACTTATAAAGCAATTACAGTAACTGTTAGAAAATGTTACATTTGGCACGAGGAAAAATTTGTACAAATTTACAATAATCATTTTGTTCACAAGACATTGTCGCATTCTTGAGTCTGTCATCCACACGTATGATTCCGTGATCATCGAATAATGGATAAGCTTTAGTAGGTTTAGTGGTGCCAGTAAACGAATAATTACCTATTTTTGCTAATTCATTCGAATAAGACTGAATCTGTTGCAAGGCATCTACTTGTTCAGGAGGAGACAACTTTATGGTGATTGGTTTAGATTTGTTGAAAACTCTCGCATAGTACACGACTACATGTATGATTGAAGATATTGATGAGCATTTATTTTAAAGATTCATTTTGGATTACTGTTAATGACCATTTATGGTGTTCTTGATGAAAAAATCGTGGACCGTACCAACAGAGTGGGTGATGAAGAACCTCAAATGGATAGAGCTTTCTGGAAGTACAGTTTACCGGGTTGTCACTCGTGGATACATAACACCATATTGATGGTGTTTCAAGTTCCTATAGTTGGCTTGTTCCATTAGCAACGAATGTACTCTATCGGTGGGTCGATGATTTGATCCAAGCCAGAGTAGTGGTTGAGTAGTCAATCTACGCATGCATTTAATTGATATGTATGACGGGGCGAGAATGTGATGCACTGAATGTAGTTAATACTGTAAACTTAATTAGTTAATAACTGAAAAT